AGGGAAGGTGAGCTAAAGGTAAGGGCCTGTAAAAAGCTGAATGAAACCCTGGCTGGAGAGAGGGAGGGACTGTAAAAGCACTATCAGGCAGAATGACAGACAGCCAAGAAGCCCATGCAAATACTGGTTTATCGACAAGACTTTGAGAAGAAATTTAGGGTAAGTGTATATTTGCACATATAGGCCCAAGAGGCACAAAGCATTTCAACAGGAATAATTAAAACAACTGAACTCAGATATAATGCAACAGCACTGGATTCTAACTGCCCATTTTGCTGGTTTCTCCTTGAAAAGTAATTGCAAAGTTTCATTCTGACGTGACAAGAGGACTTACCTGGTTTAGCAAAGCCCCTGGATKCATGTCTATGTGCACACACTGCAGATTACTGTACAATTACTGCAAAGGAGAAATTTTAATCATCATGAACTGCTTGAGATACTCTAATTAGGTTCAGAGTAACTCCAAAAAGAGCTGGYAGTTTTTAACAACCGTGTTAATTTAAAGTAAGCTGCTTGCTAACTATATTGTTAGATCCATACACATATCCAATTATAGCTACATACATACCCACAAAGTTTTATTCTAAACTTCTGCATGTTCCTCCTTCCAGGYATTTATGGTACATGGGGCATCTCTCCAGACCTGGAATATGAGCATTCCAGTTGCTGAAGGGCTGCCACTGGAGAGCACTGAACTGGTTCCACACTGAGGGCCTGTAATACTCGAGAGCCACCAAGTTCCTCTGTTGAAGATGACATCCTACATCTGATGTCACCTTTTTCTTTGAGGCTGGAGAAACAATGTTGCTTGAAATAACAGCTTTACTTAAAAGGAAGATTTAAAATCAGAGTTACWAGCTCATTCAAATTTTGAAGGACTTGACATTGAATTAAAAAAAAATTCTAGTTTAGATTTATCCCTGTTAACAATAACTATTTGTTCCTCATTGAGTCCTTTCAATAGTGAAMTGAATGGGATGGGATAGGAAAAGAAAGATCCATCCAAAAAGCTCAATGCTTCCTAGCTTGTGGTATTTTAGTGTAGTATATAAATATATCAATATGATCAGACCCCCCTGCWATATTTTCATGCAGTCCTCAGTGCCTACATTTCCCTGCTGAGGAGCTGTGAGAAAACTGTCAGCAAAAAGAATCTGACATTTTATTACTGCTGAGTCAGGCAGAATTTTCATGCCTTACCAAGCTATAGCAGGACAGAAAAGCACAATGCAAACTGACCTACACCTTACTCTGTGCACACAATGCAAACCCACTTGAATTGCTAAAAGAGAAGAAAGAATTGATAATCTAAAATTAAAATACTTTTGTATTATGCTCTGACCTCTGGTCTATAAGGGAGGTTATGATTTTTTCTTGGTATTCTAGGGTTGCGGAGCTCAGTATTTGACAAAGTTTACCAAAATTATCAATCTTTATTAACAGTAAAGAAAAATCTAAGTATTATAACCATTGGAAAAAATACATMATATTTTATTACAGCCTAACTACACCACAGTGTTTATTATATACTACTGATATGATGCATGCTGGATATAGATGACCAAAATTTATAACAAGCTTTGTAATACCTAATAAATAATAAATCRCCATTACTATATTCTTGATAGGAGCTGTGAATTGTTTGTGGCAATTGTGAAATTCATTCATTAATAATACTTACTAGTGAAAGGATTGTTTACAAAATTACTGGTGGAGTATTTAACCTTTGTAAAAGTATTTACTGGGGAATTTACCTTTGGCTTCCCCAAAAAMCAGCTTATTACTAGGAAAGACATAGTCTTTGCTGCCTGCACTGTCCTCATGCTCACACACAGTACTGTCACAGTATCCATGGTATATCCTTCTTCTACACTGAGTAAAATAAGATGTTATCAGATTGTTTAGTAAAGGCAGTTGAGTCACCCAGATTATACAAGACATATCAAAAGGTTATATATTATATTATACAATACATGTCAAAAGGTTATGTATTATATTATACAAGACATATCAAAAGCAAGGAAGGCAATAATGGCCTGATAACTCAAGCGACTGCCATAATCACTGCATTTACTGAAACCCCATAATTACTGCATGTACCTGTACTGTACTCTCAATTGTATTCCTTTGGCCAGCTCAGCTGAAAAAAGTTGATACCACCAGACGCTATCTCTCTGTAAAATTAGGTAATGCCAGACAACTCTAGATAGACAAAGATGAGACATTTAATACGGCTTCAGTTAGGAAATACTAATTGAAGCAGTGATCTGCACCTTTTCCTTGGATTGTTCCCATTGGATACAATGAGAACSACATTGCTTTACTCTATCTGCTCTTTTACACTGATTACTATGTCTGGAAACTTGGTGTCTCTGCTCCTAATGCATATAAGGATGTATCACCATGGAAGGAAAATATGGGAATTACACGAGTGCATGCACTGGGGTCTCCCTACCTTTACATGCAAGACTTCAATTAGAAATTAACCTGAACTTAAATTTTCATAATAATATAAAAAATAATTTTCCAATCTTGGGAAAAGGCTTTACAAAAAATACCTAAAAATTGATTCAGAGGTAATAACACTCTACCGATTGCATGTTTTCAAAGTTTCTTTAAACTCTGTATAATATTGGTTTATTAAATGTTGATGTAATGAGACATATAACAATATTGAGTTATGTTCAAACACACATGATTATGGCAGTACAGGAATAATTTTTAAACCTAAATTAATGGAATACAGGCTCTGTTGTCATAGAATAGTCTGTTGTCAAACAGGTATTTTGGTGTTATGATTTAAAAAGTGTTACCAGTAGCAAACTTWAAGCTTCATGGTTACTTGAAACTCAAATAAAACACTATTTCCAAAAGAGCCTGCAGCTTCTGGCATCAACTTTCTACTAAGTCTGGAAACCTAAAAGATTGACAATACCAGCATTATAGCTTGGGATTCAAAGAAAAAGTAAAATCTGTAGTTTTACTAGTCAAATATACAAATCTGATGTTAGCTCAGTCAGCACAGATCAAGTTTCATTACTTGTCCTGGAAAGAAACACTCTTTTGGGAAGAATAATAATTCTTCTAGTCGATTTTCACAAGCTGAGCCGAACAGAAAGAATGAAAAATAGCAAGATAAGACTGATGACAGTAAAGTTTCTAACATAACAATGGCAGAGGTCAGTCTGATGCATCAGCAAAGAAAAGATAACTGGAAATGGGAGATTAAAAGGCCACACTCAATCCCACACAATTCCCAGACCTCTTAGTAACTCAATCAGAACACTGTGAAAGCTAAATAAAGCCATACCTATTTTTTATATTAACTGAAGGAACTTGATAAACTACTAAAAGTACAAACAAATCTCAAAAAGGAATATTCTGTACAACATTCATACCCTGTAATAAGAACAGCAAGTATGTCTCAGGCCACAGAACTAACAGGGTCTCACAGTAACCCCTTCAATAATAATGAGTGATGCAGCTGCTGAGGAACTAAGTCACGTCACTTGGGGTTTTTTGTTTTGTTGAGTCTTGTGTGATGCAGCTCTGAAGTCCAGCTAAGAGCTACTCTAATAAACATCTTCCTTAGCTGGCTRAAATATCAAAGGAAGTCTAGATACTGATATCCAGAAGGTCACARAAATAACAGCATACCACTGTGTGATGCCTACACAGATTATGAACACACAAAGGCACATGCAGTACGCTGAAGTGCTGTGGTGTTGTCAGTGAACCTAAKGATAGATTAACATGTGGAATAAGAAGCAAGGAAAGAATTGTATGAAATTTAACCCTCACTCATTTTTACAAATTATGTAGCCCTTAGCACTTCTATAGATCATCCAGAAAATCAGAATARTAAATTACCTAAGTGAAAGAATACCTACCAGTGTCTGCCTAGCTGCTATGGTTACTGCTTCTAGTTCAGAAACACCAAATACCCTGGACTACCAGTGGGGAAATATAATTTGAAAGGGAAAACTTATGCTAAATTAAAAAAAAACCAAAAACAAAGAAAACAACTATACCTCCCCCAAATCAACAAGCCAGAAATACCTTAAGCAAACCAGATTAGTCAGAGTGAAGTAAACACCATAACTTTCCTCCTTCCTGCTACATAAGGTGAGTTGTTTCCATCCTGAACTTKGAAGGTACCATGGTCACACACAACCTAGACATGGAGAAATCAGGATGACAAAGGGAAACAAGATGCATCCAGGAAGGGAGGCTCCTAGGATAAGAACAAATAGCTCTTAGTCTTATCTCCAAAAAAGTAGAGCGAACAGGACAAATACCACTTGTAAAAACAAAGACAAACCCAAGGAACTTAGATGCAAACTGCAATAAAAAGTTCAAAGGACTTGCATGTTGTCTAAAGAAGGACACTCAAATGTCAGCAGCAACTGTTTCATAGTCTGCAATKATCAATAGGTCTAAGGCTGCCAAAGAAGGTTTAATTCCTTTGCATTTTTCAGAGTCCCACCTGGGTGTCCACCTCTGGGAATATGGCTGTCCTGGCAGGAAGCYATAGCCCAAGTGGTTGGGGCAGATTCAGGATGTTTTTAAAATGGCAGGAAAAACAGACTAGGAGAGGCTGCATTTTCCAGGCCTAACAGTGGGAAATATTTAGTTAGGATAAATTTATGCTAATTTACTTCTGCTATGCAGCAGAAGACACTGACATGGAACATTAATATTGGGGWTCTTTCCTCCAACTAGATCTTTATGGAATCCAGTTGCAGTCTAAAACACWGAATGACAGTGGTACAGCTGGACAAACCATGCTTCTAGAAATGTACATGTTTGGAAAATCCRTTCTCCAGAAATCTTACAAGAGCCCTACAAAACCTTCTGCTTGCCCCACCAAGAGAACTTCCTCTTTCAGCACCTCTCATAAAGTCTCATCTTCCACAATTTCAGTTCAAAAAACCCCTCCCAAAACAACAAACCCCCAAACCCACAACCACCAACACTAAAAAACTCCACAGAACAAGTGACTATGTTGCCTGTGATTTATAAACACTGCTCACAGCCTTTCACTGACCACCTCTCTCAGAGAATTCTCAGTTTTGGAAACCTGTTGTGACAGAAGAAAAACAAAACAAAGTTAGCTACRGCAATGTTCTGTTTGCCAAATTAAAAACTATTCCTGATATAAAATCCTCAAATAAGGCATACAATAATCCCATCTCCAGAGCAAATCCTCATTACCCTACAGTGAGCTTGTATTGTGGGAACTGCCMTGTCTCAGATGATGCTCTGATAATAAAGAGCAGCCTGTCAAATTCACAATGCAAGCTAATATGTGACTGTAACCAGGTGAACATGTCTTTGGTGCCATTTTGTTMATTTCACAAAATACGTTTTAATCCTCTCACTTCAGTGATTATTAAGCCTAATGTCCCATCAGGTTTTTTTTTCCCACCTTTAAAAATGTAAAAAGGTAAATCTAACACTATCTTGTCTTCTAAAAGACATTCTTCCCCATTCCCATTTAATTTCAGTGCCACACTGACAATCTTACATTATCATAACTAGTTTTTTTCTGGATTAAAGGTAATATTTTCAAGGAGCATTCCTGAAGACAGATTCATTTATTTTCCTAGCTTTCCTCCCATCTCCACCATTATTTTTAGAATAATGGACCTGATAAGCTAGCAAACTTAGCCTGGGATTTTGAAGGGTAGGAATTAGGGAGTTGTTTTTTTCCCCCCCCCACATCTTCTGAAAGGTGGTACTTGTCTGAATCAAGTTTATTTTTAGCTTCTCAGTAAGATGTATGCCAATTCCTGTTTCTGTTGGTGCTTTAAARGTTTTTGGCTTCTAACTGTGAAGTAATTCCCACATCTTTACTGCACAGCCACCTTATGGCCTTTGTGGGAGCCAGATTTCCCTCATCTGCAACACTTGCATCCAGTCTAGTTCAAAAACAGGCCACTGTCTCAAWCTTTCAGTTTTAAAGTTCATGTACAAGGACCTAATAAAACCCCAAGAAAATTGACACCACTAGCTGAAAGAGTAGAGRGCCAAAGAAAACTCTCAACTTCCAATTCATACAAGAGTGATTATTCCAGAATGTTTTCACATGAAAATTAAAATTRCAACATATCCTTTTAAGGCATCAGCTTCTAAAATGGAAGCACACTATTATTTGCAAAATAAATGATCTTTAGCCCTAAGACACCTTATTGTTGAAAGCCCACCTTACTGGTAAGTACAATTGTTTCAGAAATTGTTACATTTGATATGATTATGGAAATAGATTGTTAAATTCACCACAGAGTAGAAGACATTTTCCATCTTGTGATGGATTTTGGACTGACTCAGCAGCAGCTCTTAGAGTGACTTTTAATTTGGGATACGTCTTTATTTCCAACACAGATGAAAAAACCTTCAGCCTTCTCAGAAATAAAGCAGTTCACAAGATACAGCAATTGCTTTTAAAATATTAGAGAATACATTTTTCACACAATACATACAGTACAGTTTCATTTTGCAACTTTCAATATTCACAGTAAAATACTTTCCCAAATAATCTAAGCGTAGCTTAGAGCCATCAAGTGCCAGATAATTTTGTTTCCACAGAAATACAAGATACCAAAAGCCAGATGAGTTCCTTTTTCTGCATTCAGACTTGCCCAAGCACTTCTGCCCTGCATCAGTGCCAAAAGAGGTTTCTTGGAAAGCTTAAAGCTTCAGTTTTGATCAGTTCCTACTGAAGCTCTGTACTAAAGAATAAACATAAAGCTCCTGGGCTCTACAGCTGCAGGTTAAAACACTGATCATCAGGATAGCTTGTACGGTGAAGATGCCATAATGCCCTTTAGGTTCAGGATATCTGTGCTGTAGGTAAGACTTYCCTCTTCAGACAGATTGTCCTAAATGTTTACAGTCATTTAAATTTGTGGAGAGGGAACAGTGAGGAGACCAGTTGGCTTGATCTTGTTGATTCCTCCATCAAGGATGCAGACCCTTGGATACTTGTTTTTCACTAGATGAGCTGCAAACTGAAACAGATATATCATTAGCCAAATGCATATCACCGTCCTTAAATCACAATAATCTTTGTGTTAAGTAAGGCAAATTAAACAAAAAATATCAGATTGTAGAAGTTCTTTTTTTGCAATAACTACTCCAACACGGGAGCCCAGGCCATTGTATTGRAACAGCTGGGATGAATTTTGTGGTCATGAAAGGGTCACACTAATAACTTTGAACTTTATTTATCTCTGCTTAGGCAGGATTCTACCTCATTCTAACAGGACAGTTTAATCTCAGCACAATCACTGGAGCCTCTCCCAAAGCATGAACTAACAGATATTTTTCTGTGCATTAATCTAAATCCCACGTGTTTCCTGCAGGTATCCAAGTTTACAAGCAATCCCAGTTTAATTGCACAGTCATCTGCTTACCTGTCACACTTGCCCAACGTGACTTGATCTCACAGACGTCAGATATGAATTTGGGGTCTATCCTCTCATCTGCCCTGCTCCCACAGTCTGCCCACAGRCATGGTAAATAGTGCAAGCAGGTATCCCCCCACCACTGAAAGCCTCTCTCCTCAACCAGTTCATACCATAAACCAAACTCAGCAATTACCACTTTCCATGTAGAAATTTTGTGAAAYATTATTACACTGAAAAAGATATTTAGTGTATCAAAATAATTATGATAAAAAATAAAAACTATCTTTCAAAATACCAAAATTCAAACCAAAAGGAACAGTATTTTGTGTGTCACATGTCAAACTTGCCTTCAAAATACTGATAAAATGCATTAAAAAGCAAGCCACYGAAATAATCAGTATTTCCAACAGCTGTGAGAGACTGCTCTGCCATGCCAGTCTTCGAGACTGTTGCTTTATACCTGGCTGACAAATCAGTGCCTTTTGTAAAATCCCTGAGTGCTTCCAATGTGCASTGTAAAACATTAAATCCCTTTTGGTCTCTTTAAAATAATTTGTGATGCTATTTGAGAACCTGTGCAAGTGTGATGTCCAAATAGCTAACCTGGCACAAAAAACTAAACTGCCAACTCAAGAACAGCTGCAGACACCCCAATCAAACTCCATATGTGGRATTTCTTTTTTCATTTATATTTCTCCTAATTACCTGTTACAGTGTAACAGATATTGAGGCAGAACAAGATGTACTACACAATTACCTGATCAAGTACAAGTCCTGAGATAATCTTGTTAACAAGTTGGAGTTCATAGTAGCAAAATTTTAAACTTCTATAGCTAGAACTTTTGCATCACACAGAAGGTATTTTATATATGCAAGGAATTGACTTCTGCCCACTTATSTGTCATACACAGGTACTACAATTCTTTCTCTATTTTAGAATGGATTTAACCAGGGAGTGAGCAACTAGCACATGATCTGTAACCAGATCTGAGGACTTGTTGAAGCAGAGAAATAAGTCACTGTAAGCATTTTGGCTGTTAAATTTGTTTCAGGTAGTTGCTAAGACAAGACAAAAGGAAGTTCAATCATCTTTCCTCATCAGTTTGGGTCATTCAGTACAGGATCCAAAGCAAAAATAAAACCATCCTCACAATCAAGCAACTAAATCAGCAGATAGCAAATTTACACCATATGTGGATGTTAGCTTTCATGAGCAAAGCAAATGTTATGCTTTTAGAAAGGTTCTTGGTTGCACAGGTGGTGTAATATGCACAGAGAGATAGTCCACCAGTCCATAAAGCTGCAGTGTACAGTGAAATAGAGACAAAGATAGCACTCAGCTGTTCATACCATGAACTACAAAAATAGTTTATATTCCTAGTGAAATACTTCTACCAGACATCTCCACCTSACATGGACATATCTGTCACCCCACAGTGCTCTCCACCTGTGACTAATGGACAGTGCTGTGTCTTGTACACCAATGCTCCTCAGCCAGCAGAAATGACAAATGGCAACAAGCGCTTAGGCTGGCAGGAAGCACCGTGTTATTTCCCGTGTACAATGTCCCATGTGTCAACAGAGATGTTCCACTCTGACTACTGATAATTTTGAAATTCTGATACTAAACGAAACCTCTGCTCCAAGTGTTTTGAATGTCCTATATATGTTAAGGCCTGTGTCCCAGTGTATTTTAGAACTGCTTTACTAACYAAGGTATGTCTAAAAATAAATTTTCTTCACTACATATGATGAGGTCAYTTTAAAATCTTATAGTAAGGAATTTGTTGCTTCTTGCAGGGGAAGCAAGCACTGCAAAATCTGGAGCTGGTAGCAAAAAATGGGCAGAAAGCCTAAGAGCACAAGATGATATACCATAAGATGAACTTCCTATTTTTTTTTCAAGTTGTCACAAAATGTTTGCTGCCTAGTTTCAGTGAGAAATGCTGCAAATACAGTTCAAAATACTGCAGCTGAACATCCAGCCAGGGAAAAAACACTGAGCAGGAAATGTACTACTATTAGTATCTCACTACTGTGTGAATTAACTGCAAGTCAGGGCCCTAGAGGCACAGTGACATAGGCTGAGAATTGCCATCCAACTYTAAGTATCAGCCTCCAAGAGCTTTGCACATACATGTGTCCATGCAGTGCATAGAAGACTCCAGGTTAACCTCACACGGCAGTAGGATTTGATCYGTTTAAAGATGTTCCTAGTTTACCTTCTGCCTTCCCCCATTTTGTCACTGAAAGTAAAAATAGTAACTTCTGGTAAAGCATAGACGTAGAAATAGTCTCTTATTAGCATAGCAGTCTTCCTTGCTAAGGGTTTGACTTTTTATARTTCTATTCCTCTGTACATGTTGGTGCCTCCCTCTCCCAGACAGAGGAGCCCGTCTGTCACAGGCAAGAACAGGAATGTGGTCACCGTGTTTCTGAAATGTTTCAACACCACCTGGTATCTTCCCTTGCCAAAATACACTCTAGGAAGCCAGTATTTTCAAAACACATGTAAGAGTTATTTCTAGTGTGTGCTCTGATGGAGTGGCATGAGAGGAAGGGCTATTTGAAATAGCTACATAGATTTTTCTCCCCAGTTTGCCCCCAATTATGCCAACTACCAGCAGCTTGAATCTAAGAAATAAAGATTAAAGAAATTGTTTCCTAAAGACTTGAAAAAAAAATAAAGTCAGTGATCCAAAAAGAACAAGATAATAAGTGTCAAAAAAAGCTGAAGGCGCTTTTCTGAATGAGTCCCACAGACGCAGAACTGCCATCTTGCAATGCAAACATGGGCTCTATTTTGTTATAAATCATAAAGTATCATTTCTTTATAAATCAAGTGTCAACTAGAATTTTACTAACGGATGCCTGAACATATAATCCATAGTCCACTAAATCACCTGATTTACAGAGGTGCTGCTAAGACAGAAAATAACACGGTGAAGAGAAAAGCACATGGGTTATATCATCCTTCGCAACCTGTAAACCACCTGCATTTTAAAGAGAGATTTTTTWAAACATATAAAGATAGTGTCCAATTAAATTTCCATTATACAGAAATAAATTTCTGAAAATAGAAATAAACTGTCATTATATTATGATACTTTCTCAAATTTATCAAATATTGATGTTGACATAACATCTGAAAAATATCTGTTTCCCCACACTACCAATGGATCACACTCCACTGTAATGCTTCTGTTTTCAYTTAGACAAGAAGACTACTTGGGGGAAATGGGAGTTATGTCTGTCTGAGGAAAAGCTTCACAGGATACTACAAGACTTTTAAGTTTTTTACTTTCTGCTTCAGGTGWTCTTTCCTCAAAAGGAGATTCCCAAGGTCAGTTGCTGTCTATTCCCTGGTTGCATCTAATTTTTAAACTGAACTTCCAAACTGAAATTCTTCTTACTGCTTTCACAGCAAATACTATACATGAAAGGATGGATATGTGAGAAACTTGTTTAATGACTAGTATATGATGACTTTAGTGAAGACTYTGGAAACAGTTCTTCTATTAAGTACTGCATGCATCAATTCCACATAAAACACCCTTCTTGGTGAGCATAACTAAGCCAGAAAGTACAATTTGCATTTGAAAGCAGCCAGTTAAGACTCTTCATGCAGATACAAAAAGTCAGCCTTTCAAAGACAGACAAGATCACATCAAATTCATACCAAACTATGGGCAAATATTCATTTTACCCTGTCTTGGTGCTGCTCTCAATGCAAACAGCATAACAGGACTGCTCCTTTAACCACATCAAGAACCTTAATAATCTGCACATTGAAGAATTCATCAAAATGTTTCTCTCACGCYGTTCCAAGCAGCAAAATAACAGCTTTCAAGTGCTGCCTGTCTTATGGCAGGCACGTCACGTTTCCAGGCTGTCTGCAGCACAGAGTCTATGAACACAACAGCTTGTGCAGCTCCACTCCCAGCACCCTTCAGGCCAGCCACGAGGATTGCTATGTACACATTATTCACTTTCACAGACATTCTTTTGACAGGCTGTAATTAAAGGGCATGCTGGGAGGGGAGGAGGAGTAACACACTGCACCAGAATACCAAAAAAGATTGCTGTGACAAGTGTTACCATGGTATAAATATTAACAGCATACAACAAAAGAGTCACAAAAAAAAAGGAAGTTGGAGGAGAAACATCAACCAAATTTTGTAGTATTCATTCATCGCCACAAGTTTATTTCCAGTTTTTCATTTGTAAACTCATGCTACACAAAACCTCTCAGGAATTGAAGTCTATTTTGCTGTGTGATTTCAGGCAAGAGCTCACCTCCATCTCTCTGAAAGTATGACAACTTTTTCAATAGTAAGTCTACTACTTTTTAAATAATACYCTCCATATGCCACAGCACAGATCCAGTACACAAGACTATTTTTAGTCAGTTACTTCTTATATTAAAGGATTCCAGATAAATAAAATGACACTTAAATATCATGGAAAAGATGGCGGGGGGAGGCRTAGAACCACCTGCTCTAACAAGATCAAGGGAAAATTCCCTATGTGTAAACCTGGCCAAAAGGGAACACTTCCATTTCATCAGTATGAAAACACAGCAGTAACATAAAGGACTTAAA